GCTCAGCAGGGTGCCTGCTTCCCTTCCTCTCTCCTGCCTCTCTGCCTACTTGTGATCTCTGTCAAATAACTAAATAAAATAAAAAAAAAAAAAAAAAAAAAAGAAACCCCCGGAGGAGGGCAAACAATGGGTTTTGTCTTATATGCAAAACGGGACACAAGGAGTCTCATCTCATGACTTAGAACAATTTGAAGAAAATATTTTAAACGGAAGCCTCGTTTCTCCCACCTTTTGCTTTTCATTTTCTTTTTAATGGTGGCTCTTAATTATCATTGTTATTATTTTTAACCCTGCAACCCTTTCCCTGACTTTTTTCCATCTCCGAATCATTCCCATGGCCACTCTCGGCAAATAGGAATTGGGAGGTTGCAGCTTTGTCTCTCAATGTTCTGGGGTCTCCAAGGGACGTGCCCTGATCCAATGTGCCTGTGGTCCTCTGCTGACATCGCTCAAGAACTGAGTCTTCACCGTGGCCCTGAAAGGCCCTTGGGACTTGCCTGTGCATCCCAGCCTGGGCACTCGGGCACTGGGCACTCAGCAGTGGGGCTGGACTGTGTTTTACTAGATCACTGGACTCGAAATCCATCCTCTGCCTGAAAGGGATCTCTGGTGCAAAGACTGGGGAGCAGGTGATCTCACTGAGAAATCAAGTTGCGATGGGTCATTCAACCAAGCGCTCAGTCAGCAAGGTCACCTGTGTAACTCTTGAGCATTAGCCACTGGGTTCCTGCTGTCTTCCCTCAGGACTGTGACTGTCCCCGGCTTCTGCTGCAGCTACATACGGACGGGTGGGGGAGGGGGGACGGAGACCGGGCGAGGATAGCCAGAATATATTTTTTTGAAGGAAGAGTTTTTATGAATATATTATTCATTAATATATTTATTCATAAGAATTTATTTATAAGGATTCTGAATATTCAAGAGTCTACTAACAAATATATTTTTCATGAATATATTTATAAGGAGAGTAAGTTTTTAAGAAGAACTTATAAGAAAAAGTATTCATGAAGAATGTGTTCTTGAATATTAAGAATATATTCATAGGAACACTTCATATTCAAGAATATATTTTTCAGTGCCGAGAGTTGCAGAGACAAACGGAGTGTTCTTTAAAATGATAAGAAAAAAATATAATGCAGTGGAAACTCAGTATTTCAAAAGGAATGAGTACTGCGGCCAGTTGGTCATTTGCTGAGTGGTTAAGAAATGTTTCTGGAGTGGGCACAGGAGTCAGGATTCAAGCCGGACCTCAGTCTGAAGCCCAAGTACTTTCCCCGACACTTCCCTGCCTCCAACCCTCACTCAACAGAAGGAGATTCCACAGACAAAGAGAATTCCACCAAGATGCCAGGGATGTTCAGGTCAGCCCTCACAAGGGTAAGAGGTCACAACTCAGAGCCTGGGGTTAACAGGGGTCCGTCTTTCATCAATCTTGGAATCTGTTTAGGACTTGAGTTAACCAAGGTCAGGATCTAATCGTAGGCCAGGAGAAAAGAGTAGTTCAGAGATGATTAAGGAGAGATTTTTTTCTTGGGAGGACTGTGGGTTGTTGGAAGTAGAGAATTTTATTTCTGTGAAAAAGAATCCGAAATTAAAGGCATTCAAAGACTATGGTCTCAGAGGTCCTAAGCTCCCTGAGTATCCTTGCTAATGATCTAATTTCCAGCCCCATGATGTGTACTTACGATGTGTCATACAAATGGTCCTTTAGGGGAACTCTTTCTAATAACCCAGAAGTTTGTATTTCTTGAAGTCCTACGGGCAATGTTTTGCTTTGTCCCCAACTCACACATATTCCAGGTGGGAACTGGGAAAGAGGACAGTAAGAGACTAAGTGTGGTATCTGGGGGTAGCCGAAGCCTTCAAACCACCTGGGGCATTTCTGGATGCTATCTTACTCCTGAGCGGGGGCTCCTCCTGGGAGAAAGATTTCAACTTGTCAGGTTTCCAGCCTGTCTGGAGAGCATGGGGTGAGGGGAGGGAAGATGTGGGAGTCGAAGTGGAGCGTGGTAGTGTGGAGATCATCCCGGAGCCTGCTCCCCTTGCTTCTGGGCCCCCTAGCAGATAACCACCTTGAGAAGAGCGGGCCTTTTGGGGTCCTCAGGGTTGATGCAAACTTCAGGAGTATATGTGTGGGGATTCCTGGAAGAATGCGTGAGAACTGAATGGTTGTTGCTGCTCTTTTCCTGACTTATAGTGAACCGTCTCTATTGGGTGTCCGGCCCCTTAGGTGTGTTGTGTGGGCTACATTCACATCCACACGTCCACAAGATCTGATGTTAAAAAATTCCTCAGGGTGGGTCTTCTTTTCTTTTTACAGACAAGTGATGCCTACTTAGGAATTGACAGAACTGGGATCTGAAGTTGACTTTGATGGGCTTGCCTCACTCACGAAGACCAAGAATCCCTTACTATGGGCGGATTAAGTGCCAGGTACGACATCAAGTGCTGGGTGGAAGTGAGGGGCAAGCCTGCTACCGTCTCTGTCCCCACAGAGTAGTAGTAGTGGACTAGTGGGGGAAGGAAGCATGTGGTGAGGACGGCGAGTGAGGAGCCATATGATGGGGAGGTGGGCTGCAGTCAGTCTTCCCAGGCAGGGCTAACAGGGAGACAACACCTGGGGTAGAGGAATCAGCCTATGGCTGGCTGAGAGCCCCACTAGGAGGGCGAGTTGGGAGGAAGAAAGGAGCTCAGGGGAGGTCCAGCACAGGAGGGCAGCATGAGGGAAGCGCTGGGACTGAGGAGGAAGGGGGGGGTGGTGAGGTGTGGAAGCCGGCAGTGTGTGGGGCCAGCCGGGAGCCCTCAGGAGCTCACCCGCACCCTGTCGGTCTCCACCTTCAGTGAGGTCATGCTGGTAGGAGAATGTGTAAGAGAGATGGACAGAGTTGGATGTTTTGGTTTCCTGAGTCAGGTAGCTTCACTGATGATGGTAGTTACTCAGGTGAGGATGCAAGGACAGGACCATCCGAGGTGCCATTCCAGTATGGCAAGGTGAAGATGTTGGGTGACAAGTCGGGGTGTCCAGCAGGTGGCTAGATACCGGATTAAGCTCTATCTGATCACACTGTCTTCTAGGAACACAACACTTCAACCCCAATTTATCTTGGTGTTGTCTGGTCTGTTCTAGATCCTTCTGTTGAAATGACAAGTATTAAATATACAAAACATGCATCTCAGGTCTTCCATGGAGCCTATACAACGAGCAATTGTGAGGGTCTTTTTAATTTAAAAATCTCCATTTTAATTTCTCAAGTTATTTTTTTTTTTTAAAGTAGGTTCCACATCCAACATGGAGCCTAACTCGGGGCTGGAACTCACGACCCTGAGATCAAGACCTGAGCTAAGATCAAGAGTCATATGCTTTAACCAACTGAACCACCCAGGTGCCCCTAATTTCTGAACTTATTAACAGCTGGATCTGCTTCCCTAAGGAAACATATCTCAGGTTCTCAACGAGGCTGTCTTCTCTGCCGGCTAACACATGCAATGCTCTGTTCTTCCGTGGCTGAGAAAAAAGCCTTCAGGTTGTGGTGTGGGAACAGGTTATTACAACATATTCATTAAGGCATAGAGGTAGGGGTTTTATTTTATCTGTTTATTATAATTTAAAATATATTAAAATTTTAACACAGCAGAAGCAGGAATTAAATTGTACATGGCAGTCTAAAAAAAAAAAAAAAACCACCAGAAAACAAACAGCAAACAAAACACAGAAAACAAAAATTTACATGAACCAATAATATATTAAAATTCCATTTAGGTGAAGATCTAAAAAAAAAAAATGAAATACACGCAAACCTCTTAGAGAAGAATTTTCTTCAGTGACCTACAGTTTGAGAATCTCTCCAAGCTGAATCAACTTTCTTCAACCATAAGATTCTTAATGAAGCAAATGGGTGAGTTCTGTTTCTTTTCTCCCCCCACAACTCCCCTCCCCTCAAACAAGGGCTCTCCACTTCCATGGGGGCCTGGGTAACTTTGTGGGTATAAAAAAGGGGACTGTCTTTCAAAATTGTAGGATTGATTCCTCTTAAGTGTCAGATATAGTCACTTACACAAAACAAATAAGGTCTGACAAGAAATCAGAATTGTTCGAACAAATCATAGCCACCAAGCTCCCTACTTCAGAGAACTTCCCTTTTAATGGTTTGTCTCTATGAAGATGTAACACGGCTCCTCATCACACCTGCTCAGAGGGAGAGCGGGGCCAGCTACCTATTCTCCTGAGGTTGCCTCAGTGGCGCGGGTGGGTGGCTGGCCCTCGGGCCTGCCTCAGTGGCAGAACAAGGGTCCCCCACGTTCATGCAGATGGCCACCAGGTGCTGCTGTGTGTGAGGGGGTCCTTGGGAGGGTCTGGCCAGCTTCTGCTACCTGCCCAGGCTGACTGTTCCCCAAGTGCTCTTTGAGCCACTGGGAGCACAAACAAGAAACACTTAATGGAACAAAAAGGAGAATTGATGAATCATGAAAATATGTGCTTATTATTATTTTTTTAAAGACTCGCACTTTCCTGAGTAAAGTACATAAAAATCCCACATGAAGTCTTTCTAAAGCACCAGGCCTCTATCTCCTAGACTCACTGCATCCAGATGGCAAATCTGAGCCAAGCTCAGATGTTCTGGTGAAAACATGAACAATGTATTTATGAATGCTGTTTTTCTACTATTTCACCGCTTTGGAGTTTTATGCTTGAAAAATGGTTAATGGTGAAGGAGAAAAACTGAAGGTGTATGTGTGGGCTTCTTTGGTCTGTTTGCTGCAACGCATCAGAGCTGGAAGGACTCCACCGAAGATAAAGATGTCCCCAAACCACACACCGGCCCCTGCATCCTTGGCCCGGGATCAGTCGTCATACCCTCTACACATCGAAACCACAGCTGCTTTCAAAGTCCAAATTAAATATGGATATGACCATGGGGACATTCAAATCAAATTAATGTGGACCAGTTTTATTGCTGCAAGAACAAGGTCCTGGTGCCATGGCCGTTCAGGTGGTGTGTTTATCCTCTGGCTTCTTGGCCTGAGAGAGAGTCTTCTTCTTCAGTGAGGTCCTGGGAATTCCTGAACATGAGGATAGAATTATAAATCTTCAGTGCTGGACCCAGTTTGATCTTCATCACCTTGACGATGTCCGTCTGCGTCAGAAGCAGGAAGGCTTTGCCATCGATCTGCTGCGAGTAAATAAACACATACTGTTTACCCTCTGGCGACTTCTGGGGACTCAAGGCGGGGGCTGGGGGGTGGGGACGGACACTGAATGGTGTCTGCCTCCCTGCAGAGCTCTCCAACTACAGGGAAAGACAGCACCCTCTCCCACCCAGCTCTGACCGCTGAGCCACCGCATGCTCTTACCCAGGACTCGGTTAAATATGAACTCAACATACAGGGGAAATTTCTGTTATGTTTAAAAAATCTTTGCCTGAATTTGTATCATGAACCTTAAAAAAAACACCCCTACTTTCATCCACCAAGTAAATCTCCAGGAATTTTTCCCAAGAGAACAAAGTGCAATGCATCTACTCTAGTGTTATTTGTAATAGTGAAATATTGAAAACAGTCCAGGATTTCAAATATAGCAGGATTATGGTGTCGTCTAGGTTGGGGTATGAGGCAGTCACTGAAATTCACATCTTGATGAAACAATGATTTGGCAAATTTTTCATGAATTGTTAAGCAACAAAATATGACATGATGTAGAAATATCTTTTGCATTCCATAACATTAAACGTGTGTGACCACACATATATATACATATAATGAAGATATTTAAAGTCTTTATACCAAATATTAAGTGAAGTCAGATTTGGCTTGTGGGATAGTGGTTTCATTTTTATTTTCTCCTTTTAACTGACATGCATTGAAATTTTTTTATGATAAATGCCATTATGAGCAGAAATATATACAAAATAAATGTTTTATTAACTTTTGAAAATATTTATTTTAGAGAGAGTGTGTGAGCAGGAGGGGGAGGGGCAGAAGAGGGAGAAGGACAGATAGACTCCCCACTGATTGCAGATACCCATGTGGGGCTCAATCTCATGACCCTGAGATCATGACCCAAGTAGAAATCAAGAATTGGTTGCTTAACTGACTGAGCCACCCAGCACCCCTTATTTATTAACTTTTAAAACATGGTGGTCTGACATGTGGTAGCTTCCCTGAGACTCACAGGATGGGGAGGGACTACCAAACAGGCCATTTCCACAGCTTCTAAAAGCCCCAGTCTGCTCTCAGTTTGAGTCCCAGGGACCGTGTATGTGTCCTACACCCACATCACCTATTTAAACAGACTGGCTCAGAAAGATTGCTGATTCTAGAACCAAGAAGACAGAATGAAAGGGTTTTTATGGTAACCCTCCTTCCCTGAACCTTTTTGAATTGGTACAGACCCTTCATGTCAATGACTCACTGAGACATAAGCGTCCCCCATGGACCCAGTTTTGAAATTAAGTCTAAATTAAAGTGGAAAGTTAAAGTTTTAAAGTGTTAAGAAAGTTGTAAAAAGCTTCCTGTGATGTTGGCGAGGATGTGGAGAAAGGGGAACCCTGTTACACTATTGGTGGGAATGCAAGATGGTGCAGCCACTGGAAAACAGTATGGAGGTTCCTCAAAAAGTTGAAAACAGAGCTACCCTATGACCCAGCAATCGCACTACTGGGTATTTACCCTAAAGATACAAATGTAGTGATCAGAAGGGGCACGTGCACCCGAATGTTTATAGCAGCAATGTCCACAATAGCCAAACTATGGAAAGAACCTAGATGTCCATCAACAGATGAATGGATAAAGAAGAAGTGGTGTATATATACAATGGAATACTATGCAGTCATCAAAAGAAATAAAATCTTGTCATTTGCAATGATGTGGATGGAACTAGAGGGTATTATGCTGAGTGAAATAAGTCGATCAGAGAAAGACAATTATCATATGATGTTTCTGATATAAGGAATTTGAGAGGCAGGGCAGAGGGTTGTCGGGGGTAACGGAGGAAAAAATGAAACAAGATAGGATCGGGAGGGAGACAAACCATAAGAGATTCTTAAAGCTCACAAAACAGGGTTGCAAACAGGGTTGCTGGGGGAAGGGGGTTAGGGAGAAGGTGGTTGGGTTATAGACATTGGGGAGGGTATGTGGTATGGTGAGTGCTGTGAAGTATGAAACCTGGCGATTCACAGACCTGTACCCCTGGGGCAAATAATACATTATATGTTAGTAAAAAAAAGGTAAAAAAAAAACAACCCCAAAACCTTCTTGTGCATTTATGATAATGTCTGTTGAAGAATCGTCCATTTGGAGAACGGAATACCTGGAGAACTTTCTAAGGTGCCGAAACACGCTAACCCCGAGCTTTAAAGTCCCCTCTTGGAAGTGTGTGTTTTACAGAGGCATGAGACCGGGTCAGTGTTCTGTCCACCAGGGGACCGCTGGTCATAAGAGCCAAGCTGGAGCCACCTGATCTACAGACACCTGTGGACAAGGTGGGTCTTGGGCACTGCTTGAAGCAGAGCGTGGCTCAAATGTGCGAGGCCAGGCTAGCTACTCCTGAGCAGTGCTGGGCTCAGGGGAGAGCAGGTTACCGTCACGTCTCAACGGGCAGCTACCCAAACTGCTACCTGACTGACCCTGATGCTGAGTTCCCTGGAGAGGCAGGACTTGTTGGGTTCTGAGGAGCCCAGGACCCCAAACTCCAAGAGTACTTTCCCTGAACCAAGAATGTCTCGACCGCTGGAGTGGGAGGGTGTGTGCTACACACTGGAGGCTCTAGGAAGAGTTTTCTTGCAGACTTCTAGAGCAATGGTGATGGAGTCATCATGAACAGAAGCTGGAATCTGCTGCCCTTTTCCTGCTATGCACTAGCCTCCTCACTGCTTGTTGGAGGACCCAGGACAACAACTGTAAAGTGCTCAGCATGGCCCAGCACAGGGCAAGTCCACAATAAACAGGAACCACCATAGTTTCACTATTACTCTATAGCTGATCCAGTCTCTTCTGGGGTCCCTAGCGCTATGGCTACTAATTCCAGGACAAATATTAAGCAGTTTGAGACATTCCCAACTAACATGGAGTAGGAAACAGAAACCCCACAGAAGGGCTCTTTGGCTTATCTGTATTCCTCTTGAAGCAGGTACAGAGCAGGGACACACAGGATGGTCCCACTGTCCCCCTGGGGTAGACAAATTCCCTCTCCTCCCTGGGCACAGTCTCCTTGCAGGACCCCTTCTGCCCCTAGTGAAGCATGAAGTCATCACAGCAGAGCCTAAACAGCACCCATAAGGGTTGCCTGATGCGTTCATTTATTCTTCACCCAAAGAGTCTATTTCTCGAGCAGGCCCCATGCGCCAGGCACCAGAGTGTTCTGTGACAATGCACAGCTCAGCACAGGCAGGACAAGGACAGAGGCTGACCCTGCCGGGCCCGACTGCCCTGCTGGGCTCTATCCCTCCCCAAGCCCTCTCTCCGGCCCACCAGCTGCTCTCAGTTACGCTCAAGTCAATGAAAACAAAGCTCTTCAGGGACCAGACTATGGAAAGACATATAATTTTTGCATTTCTTACCTCTTTCTTGAAGCACTTGGCATGTTCCTCACAGCCCAGGAGAGACTGTACAAATTCAGCCACCTACGGTGCAAGATGAAAAGCCTGATTTACAACACGCACCTGAAATAATTTCTTGGGTTGTAGTAACTCAATATTTGAGTAAAATATACTGCAAATCCCTCAAACTCTTGGAACTGAAATAGGAACTATCAAGGCCCATTAGCCTGTACCAGCTCAGCAATTAGCCCAGCCCCAGTCTCTTGTGGCCTCTTTACTGCCCGGATGACCTACACAGGGTTACCGTTGTGATGGCAATGACAGTTTCCGTGGATGCCGTGCCAGCATTCTGGAATCTTCTCTCATCTGATCCTCATGTCCTCCCTGTGGAATCAGGAAGGCAGGAGGGCGTGGCCCGAGAGTAACAGTCTCCACAGTGACTGCCAGAGAAAAGGACTGGGCACCTGGCCCTTCAGTAGCTCTGAGGCCCTATCTGAGTCTCACAGGGACTCCAGGGACCTCTGCTGACCGAATTCCCTCACCGGTGACAATCAAGCTAAAGCCCAAGGAGGCTCAATGACTCTCTGAAGGTCACGCATGGCCGGGAAGTGCCAGGGATGGTTCTGGAACTCAGGGTTTCAGACTCCAGACCAGGAGTTCTGGAGAATCACCTCTTCAGCTTCATTTCCCGCTCTTTCCCTGCCTCCCTCCCCAGCCACACGGCCCAGTTTCTTTCTAATTAGACCAGAGCAGCACCTGGATGGAAAAGCAGGAAGCCGTGAGTGTCCCAGCGATGCTACCAGGGAGCCGAGTGAACTAACATGATAAAGCTTAGACTCTCAACGACCAATTACAAGGGGATTCCAGCCCCTTCTGGCAAGGTCCGGCATGGCTGCGGCGCAGAGGAAAGGCAACCCAGGAGGCAGCACTGACAAAACCTGGGAGATGATGTTTGTAAGAGCAGCTGTCTTCACATGCTGTCTGCGCCTTGTGCCAACCGAGAAGGGAGCATGAGAACCTTCCCTCTCCCCTCTGAAGGAGAAGGCCCCTGGGAAGGCAGGGAGCGCAGGCCCTGGTATCAACATGTTCTACAATCCAAGAGGCCTGGGAGTCCCCGGCTCCCTGCAGGGAGAGGAGAGTGGACACTCACCCTCCCCACATTTGGCAGAAGAGAGCACTGCGGCCTCGGCTGATCTCCGGCTTCCGAAGCGGCGAAGAACCGACACCCGCAGCGCAAACCCAGGCCCTGCCCCCTGCACACACACCCCTGATTCACAGCTATATTGAATACGAGGATTCCAGAACTACTTTTTAGGGGCCGTCAGCATGTCAGTGTCTGCTTTCCTCACCTCGGATGCTGCAAGTCTGTTTTATCATGAGTCATTACAGTCATCCTTCCAAAGTGCGGGATGAGGAGAATTAAAAAAAAAAAAAGAAAATCTTCCCAAACCACACAATGGCATCCTTGGGCCTGGGAGCACCTGGGAGGCGTTAGCGCTTCGAGGGGCTTTGCCCAAGTGCCTGGTGCTCTTCTGATGAGGTACCTGATTTGCTCCTTTCAGGTGGCTGACATCACAGAGCTGAGGAAGGCGTGGGAATGCTGCTGGTCAAGTTGCGGAGACACGTAACTGGGGCGGGTGACAGCAGGAGCTCACAGAGAGCTTCTAAGGCCTGGGACGCTAGGAGGGGATGCAGTCCCCTTGCTCCTGAGGCTGCTCTCTGGCCAGGGACCCCCACCCCCACCCCAGCTCCTGCTGGGCGAGGCCCCTGCTGGACGCTGGGAAGCGGGATCTGTGAGCAGGTCAAGTGGGAATTTCCAATGTGTTTACGGTTTGATCAGAGGTGGGAGGATAAATGGAAAATTGCAAGTAAGGCTGCCTTACTCATCACACTGATACATGCTCAGATGTGCTAAGTTCTAGAAAAGAGGCAGAAAGACTGTGGGCTTCTAGCAGGGATAGATGGCATCTCAGACGGGAACCCGGGAAAGGGATCAAAAGGGAGGTGGAGGCTGAGACAGGCACTGATGGGTGACATGTTTCCACTGGGGGCGATTTGGGGGGTGGCGAGCGGAGAAGACCTTCTGGGCACAGAGAGTCTCAGCAAAGCCATAAGCAGGACGCATGACACACATGGCATCGGCAGGGAGGAGTCCCAGGTGGCTAGAACCGTGGAGCAGAAGGGGAGCTGTGGAAAAAGATGGGAGTGAGGGAGTCGCCATGTGGTTTCTTGGTATGGGCAGCAAGGAGCCCTGGAGGGGCTGTTTGCTCTCGTGGCCGCACCCTGGAATCCCCTGGACAGCTTTACACAGGAATGACAGTGAGGCTCAGGCCACAGGGACGCCAAAGTCATGAGGCTGGATCCGGTCCACATGCTGGGCATGCATTTCTAGATTCCCTGGATGGTGCTCACGTGCAGGCAGTACTGAGGACCCGGCACAAGAGAGCTTGAGAGGTGATCTAGCAGCGTGGGGGGGCACTGGGTAGGACGTCACTGGAAGACACCTGCGGCTGTCTGGTGGGGGGCCCCAGGGCCTGGACACTGCATGGGGCAGAGCTCAGAGCTGGAGGCAGGAGGCACAGCAAGTCCAATCCTGAGACCTGCCCACAGGCTGGGTGTGGGACAAAAGGAATCAGAGCAGAGTCCAGGAGAACTGCTGGAGGGCAGGCGTGTCGGGCACTACTGACGGGCATGGACTGAGCACTCTTTGCCGCCGGGCATCCTGTGTGCCGCAGTCGTTTCGCAGCCACACTGCCTCCATTCGCCATGTGCCACTTGCACCCCCACCCCCATGTTGTGACAACCAAAAACGTGTCCGGTTGTTGGGCACGTCTTCCTGGTCCAAAGCCACTGCTCTACAGGCAGGTTTTCCTGAGATGGCTCTTTCACAGGGCAAGAGGCTGAATGTCACAGCAGGAAAATTAGAAATAAAAAAGCAGGACTAGGAATTAGCAGAAGACATACATTTTGTCATAGCTCAGTCAGCTCCTGTGGGAAAGCCAAGCCAGCAATGAGGAGCCCGGGTTCCCCACAAGGAGAAGAGCTTTGGGAGAGGGTCTTTTTAAAATACACGTTCCAGGAACTTCCATTTGCAGCAAAAGTGGTGTGTGTTGCTTTGATGGTCTGCATGGGTTAGAATGTCCTTTTCTGGGCACACAGGAAAGAATCACATTCCCTCTCCTGCTATACAAGGAGTCACTGTCCATGTGGAGGTAAATAGGGTTTTTAACAGGAATAATGAACTTGTCAGAGCGGAAGTGGAGCATCACTGGGGAGTCGGGTGGCCCCCAGCCGGGCCCCAGGTGCAGCCCCTCCCTGTCCCACCTCCCTCAGACAGCACACCCTCATCTCCATTGCTGAACCACTGGCCCGAAATCCTCTGCTTCTTTGGAAAGAGGTTCTGCGTCTATTCAGTCTGTCCTTTCCCAAAGTCAAAAACAAGTTCCATGGAATCTACTGAGGCTGACTTTTCTGGCCAGAATTTAAAAATATCTAAAGGCCTTGATCATTATTCAGTCTCATTATTCAGTACTGTTAGTATTTATTCCGTGTAAGAATACATTTTATTTTGAGGTTTAATAGAAAGCCCATTTTGCTACATATTTTAAACGGAAAGTGGTGAGCTTGAACATAGCATAGAGTAGTACTATCAGAAAGCTTGCCTCTCATCCTCCTCTTAAAAATCTGTTTATCTCTCCAAGTCTGTGGTAAATGTGAACTGTTCAGACGGGCATGAGCTCTAGGAAGCAGGGAGCTACCATCTGTTTGCCCGCATCCAAGATGGCTATGTGGACGTGTCTGCTGGTCTCAGGTGATGGCGTCGTTGTTGGGGCCTAGGGTAGGCCAACTTCTGCCTTGGCTCCCAGCGGCACAGCTGGTGTGGAAGCTGCCTGATGCCCGGTTCCCTGAGATCTCAGGAGTGGGGTGTCCCACAGCGAAAGCCCCAGCTTTGTCTTGGAAAGCCACTGAGTAGGTTAATCCTGGGGATGACACAGCACTTTGGAAAGAAAAGAACAATGACCCTGTGCCAACTCTTGGATGAGCCCATTACTTTTCCCAACTTACTTCCCCCAGCGACCTACTTTTCCTGGCATCCTCTTGGAGCTCAGCAGGCCTGTTTGCTTCCGTGGGGTTGCTGTGCCCTTAAATCTTCCGAACGGTGGTGTTCCCGATCTTGCTGAGCCTGGAGCTGTGTGCCTGGTTGCCCTGGCTCCAAGTCCACTGGGGACCGTGTTTCCAGCCTGGGTCTCATTTTTTAACAGTGGAATTTGTTATCTGCCCTTTCTTAAGGGCCCGCTTGTATAAGGCTGCTATGCTTAGTTAGCAGTATCCTGAATTTTTCAAAACACTCCCTCCTGTGTAAAGATTGCTTTTAAAGCAGCCGCCATCTTTTAAAGTTAATGGACATTTGGGGAGAAATTGGTTGAGGCTCTGGCAATTTATATGTGCTGCTTTAAAAAGCGTTTCTGATCGTAAGGAGTAAAAGCACCCATATGTGCCCTGAGCATACATGAGCCACACCTGTGGTTCTAACATACAACCCGCTGCCTCCTGTCCTCACGTGCCCATGCACACCTGGCGGGAGGGTACCACGTGCCTATGCACACCTTCGGGAGGGTACCATGTGCCCGCACACACCTGGCGGGAGGGTACCACATGCCTATGCACACCTTCGGGAGGGTACCATGTGCCCACACACACCTGGTAGGTACCACGTGCCCGCGCACACCTGGTGGGAGGGTACCAGATAAAATCCACCTCCCCATTGATTCACTCACACATTTCTCATACACCTACTCTGGGCAAGATACTCTACTATAATGACATAAAGAGATAAATAAATATTTTAGTTCCTACTCTTTAGTGCTTACACTCTTTTACAGAATATTTCCATGGCCCAGGGTACAAAATACACTTCATTCATACTGACCATGACTGGAGTGTTTGCACACACCCACACATTTCTAACAACGTTTTGCAAAATAATCACCCTTACTACAGATATGGTCTTTCCTCTCATCATGTCTTTCACTCTAGAACCACAAAATCAACTTCACAGCCTACCTGTGCTTTGAAAATCACTGCCCCAATAGAAACAGCCTAAAAGAGTGAGAAGCCAGCTCCCACGCTCTGGGCAATGTTACGATGGCCCTGAGCAGGCTTCTCTTCCCAAGTAACAGAATGCAGAGAGCAGGTCTCCCTCCCAGGCTTCCCTCGCAGGAGAGCAGACAAAAGGCAATGTTCTCGCTCTTCGTCTTTGGCTGCAGACAGACTCCTGCCTTGAGTCTCCCTGAATGGCACTTAACGCAAGGATGCACAAGTCCATTTTCAATGCATCCTGTCTTGGGCTCCTGTGGTTCCTCTCTAATACTTTGCCTAATGAGTACAAAACACAGAAGAACAGCAACCCCCCTTGGTCTCCTCTTGCCCTGCATGGCCTTTTTAAATCCTTGCTGCCCTAGTCCCATTTTTAGTATGGCATCTAAAATAGTCACAAACTCTATTGTTGGTACTCACTGGAATGCCCCCTAAGCAAACCCCCATCTGAGGGCTGCCTTATCTTCAAAGATACAAATAGAGTCACCACAAAGCCCATAGTCTCATCCCATCCAAGATTCTTCTTGAGGGGCCTATGTTGGTTCCAGGAAACGTGCTACAAGAGTGTGAGAATACTGAAAGAAATTTAGGACATGCTCCTTGTCCTCAAGAGCATCTAGGTAGGGAGACTTCAAGACTATGATATATTAACTTGAGGGAATAAACCAAACTTTCTCTGGAATGCATCCTTGAAGGAAGTCATGGTTATGGAAGCATCACAACGGGGTGGCTTATGAAGACAGCCTCAGGGATGATGTTCTTATTTTTAATCTAGAATATTCTAAGGCCTCTTTCAGCAATAAAGGGCTGGGGTTCCATGTGTATCCACTACAGAGAACTCAGGGACTGTGACCTTTCTGCCTAATAGTCCTTGATGGCACCCTCAGTGTCCCCCACAGTGAGCCCCTCCCTGTCCCAGGGAGACTCGCAGCTTGATCACCACTGTCTTTCATTACCCCCCAAGCCCTCGATTTCCTGCAGTGCCAGGCTTGGGACTCATCAGATCAGAGGCCCCCTAAACTTCCTTGTCACTGCTTAATGCTCCTAAAACAAAGATTCTGCTCTTTTTGGACAATGGTCCTCTTGAGACAAAGGCCTGGCCCTTCTCTTAAGGCAAGGAATACACACATTTTCCACATTTTTTCCAAATCCCTGGAAACTTAGTTCCACAGCCCCATCCAGGAGCCCTGTGCTACATCTGGCCTGTGCCCTGCTGAATGGAACACTTGCCCCCTGCCTCCCACTGACACGTCTCTGTTGTGGACTCTCTCTCCAACTGTGGTCCCCTCTCTGTTCTTGGAGGCTCTCCCTGGACAGACGTGTCCTTGGTGAAAGCTCACTCAGCTCCGCCATCCATTAGTGACATCCCAGGCGGTATTTCTGCCCCAGGAACAGATGTGCATTCGCTGCTGTGACATCATCCGCAGGGGCCTCTCCCTCAAGGAGTCCCATAGGAAATTCACCATCTTCTCCTCCTGCCCCCAAACTGGGTTCTTTCCTCCAAAGTTTCATTCCGTTTGGTGGCACTACTACTTCCCCATTCTTCCAGATGCATGCTCTAGCTCGCATAGTGTCTCCCTGGGTCCCAAACTGTGTGGTACTGAGACTGCGCATGGAGTCACGTTTGGCTCACTTCCGCTCTTCACCTTCAGTGTCTGATCTGGTTCACTGTGTTGTGTTCTTTCAGCTTGAAGATGGCTGCCAACCTCGACTTCGGGGGGTTCTTCTGGCAGCGCCCAGTGCAGACCCGGATGACTCCACACCGGGAATGTGGTGGTGTTCCCTGGCCGGTCCCTCGCCTCTGCCTCTTCTCACATGTACTCCTCCACAGACGGTGCCATTCTCCTCCCCTCGAAGCAGCATTTGCACAGGAGACTTTCTGTGTGGGCGCCTCACGTGGCTCATGCTGCCGGCTGATGGACACGCACGTCGGTGTCCAGCCTCACACCCAGCACACATTCCCCATCCTGGGGCACTTCTGTCTGTGCCCCAGGGTACGTGGCTCTGCCTGTTCATCGTCATTATCGATGTTAGTAAAGGATGTGCCAGACATCTGCCATCCGTGTATCCGTCATACTCACTTCCAGATGACCTTCTATTTTTCCCTTTGACTGGAATGGCTGCCCTTCTTTGCTCTGCTTGGACGTGTCCCACTTTTGTTTCAAAATCCAGCTCATGATGCCCTTGTCATGCAACATCCTTCAACAAACATTTCTGGGTTATCTACTAAGTGCCAGGTGCAGTGAGAAGTTCTCCAGATACATGCCAAGTGAGTGATATAAGGTCTCTCATCTGGTGAGGGGCAGATGAGCGAGTGTAGGCTGGTGATGAAGACTCTCTGAGGAGATGGGAGCACAGAGAGTCTCCTGCCAGAGGGAAGTGTCGTGCTGATGGCCAGAACTGACCGTGGGCAGAGCAGGCAGGGCCACCTGAGGCCAGGGTAGCAACTGTGCCAGTGTGAGGACCCCATGCGGGGACTGTAGTCCAGGGTGAGAAGCCCATGGGGGGCATGGTGGGAGGTAGGGCTGGAAAGGCAGGGAGGACTGCCCGTGCAGGTCCTAAGGCATGCCAAGGACTTTGTCTGGGGAGCCTGGGATTATGTGCAGGTAGGCAGAGACACACCCAGAGGTCTGTGTCTCTACCTCGTTCATCCACTCTTAGGACTCAGCTGCTCTGTGCACAGAGGGCTGGGGCTGGATTCAGGTGGCTGCCTCCTCTCCAAGACATCTTTCTAAGCATGATGGTGATGATGCGAGGGAAGAGAAGCCACTGTCAGTCTAACTTAAAAGTTAGTAGAACCTTGAGTGAATGGCTTGAAAGTCAGGAACAAATGACTTGCCCCTGAGCTCCCCATAATGTGCCTGCTGTTCAAAGGCCAAAGCCATACATGACTGGACTACAGACACATCAGGGCTTAGTTCAGTTGGCTTGGTCATGAAGCCACTTCACGCTCTGTAGACTGGTCAGAATTCCTCAGTGAGGGGCAGGGGCAGACCTGGGATCACATTTCATCACCACGGGTATACTCAGTCAAGGCTCTGTGACCAGCACTCTGGGGGTACTTAGAAAGAGTGCAAGGAGAGGTGGAGCCGCAGGGTGTGCTGACGGAAGGGTGTCAGCCCTTGTTGCTCTGGGCGAGGAGGGCCGGGCAGGGTGATGCACCAGGCAGATTCTGTGAGGGGCCGGCGAGGAGGGGGACAGAGCAGGCTTGCCCCGAACCTCCAGCTCAGCATGGCCTTTGTCACCTGCTCCTGGTCCCAGGCTGGAAAGGAAGGCCTGAACCAACATTAAGTCAAGTTGACTGTGGAAAGTGCTCAATGAACATTTTGTGACTAATTTAACTCCAGCCCCGCTGTTACCTTGTCCTCTGAGTGACCCAGGGGTTTCCTTCATTTAAAAAAATTAATTAAGGCCTGACTAGTGGAAATAGTACCTTTATCAAAAGAAATGTCAAAGAGTGTATTCCTTAAAAGAAAACTGCTTTATATATGCAGCATTTCTATAGCATTAGAGCAAGCAACAGGACTTACCTGGTCCTTATTAAAAACCAACTCTGTAAGGCATGTGGTATGAAAGTTGGATCCGTTTTCCCACGGGTTCAGCATCTTACGCTGTGTTGTGCTCTAATTCACTTTAAAGACAAACCTAAGGTTAACTGTTCATCTGTGGCTTCAAGTGGACAAACAGTGGCCCAGAGCCGCTTCATAATGAGAAGCAGTTTGTCCTCTGGGGCCCTGCAGAAGCCCCCCCGGGGGGTGCTCCCCAGACAGGATGCTGCTTCAGGCAGGGGCTGCCTGGAGGCAAGTCTAAGATGCTCACGCGCTTCCCCAGAGTAAATCTGTGATGTGGGACCAGAGGCTTGGGCTGCTCTACCCAAAGTGGTGCTGGGCTGATGGTGACAGAGAGCAGAGGTGGTTCTGGGGTACCAGTGGGGAGTGGGGGCCAAAACCAACTGGGCTGTCCTAATTCCCTCAAAATCAGCCCTGCCTTCTCCCTGAAGTGTGGATCTAAAATTTGATGCCATGGATTCTGTGCCTAAGAGAAACTCCCCACAGCTGGGCCCAGTCCCTCCAGGGCCCCAGAGCTGCCCCGCTCACCTCATCCACTGTCCATCGGGCCACCTCGCTGGCCTGGATGTTGGCCACGCCCGGGAGGAGCTTGCAGTGCTGCTCCCTGCCAAGGGGAAGGTCCCGGAAGGGGTGGGCTGACACTGAGGACATGAAGATGGACTGGTGCAGCGCCTGCTGTGTCTGCTCAGCCGAGTATTCTGGAAGAGAGGCAGGGTGGGTCAAACACACGCATGGGGCCAATTAGGGAGTAACACCTAGGTCAGCCCCTCTTCCCAGGGGCCAGGATAGGACAGGTGCACACTCAGCGAGGACCCTGGTGTTCCAGTCCCTTGGCATCGCTGCCAGGAGGCGTCCCCAAGCATAGGACACGCCACTGTTCTGTTTCAAAGCAACTGTCAGGAGAAACAGATGTTATATAAGGCCCAGATGACTCCGGCTATTTGCGAAGCAAGGTCAAAAAATCTCTGGGAGACATTGTTTGATGCCAACCAAGAGCTAGCCTGTCACTGCCACTGGCTTCTCTCCACCCAGATCAGAGGTCAGAGGAAGCACAGAGCCTTGCAGAACGTGGCTGTTAAGCAGATTGGCCCACGGACCCATCTGGGACATGAGTGGCCACAAAGAGCAACTTCTTCCTCGAAGCTGCTTCATATGCCTCCAGAGACACAATGAACTCAGGTCCACATGTGGCTTCACAGGTCCCCTGGGGGACACTGATGTGGAATGTAGCACAGGGTCTCTGTGGGAATGTGGGTGGCAGCTGCTGAGCTAGCTTCCACCGGGACATGATGACCTCTCGGGACTTGCAGGAAGCAGCTGCAGCTGAGATGTGACTGTCCCGACATTGGAACTCTTAAATGGACACTCTTTCCAGAGCAAGAGCTCTGAATGAGCTCTGGCTCTAAGACCTGGAGGGCAGCGGCTGCTTGTTGGCTCAGGATTGGCTGCTCTCACTAAGGGGTAAGGCCTCCCTCCTGCCTCTTACTTGTCCCTGGGCTTACGGAACTGGTTTTCCACCTTCCAGAGTGACTTGACTCTTAAGTTCTATCCCAACATTGAGATGGAGCCAGAGATCTCAATTCAATTCCCTAGTTATTTTGCTTTGAACGTATAAATGGATAAGGAACAAAAACATTACAAAGATTTCAGAGAAAACCCAACTCATGCCTTTGTACTGTCATTTTTTTAAGATGCTTTCAGCACACATGAACAAAATAAAGCAACTGCTATTCTAAAATACTTTAAGACCATAAAAAATTGTTTTGAGCCTTCTAGAAGTCAACCTTTCCCAGTGCAAATGACAAGGAAGCAGTAGCCACATAATTTAAACTCTATTATGATGGTTTATGTTTTACTAACAGAGTCTGAAATGCTATTATGCAAATATTTCTGTATAGTTTTCAGTAGGTGAGGCTGACCTGCACCTGGCATGGTCCCATGGTCACACACGCTCTCGTAATCAGAGGTCCCAAACCAGGACGAAGCCCATTCATCACCACCCTGAGTGCTGGGTGCAGACATCCTGCATATTTCCCGATGCCTGCTGTCTGCACAGATAGAGAGACAGCAAAATTGCAACCTTCTCCCAAATTCTTATGCTCCAGTTGCAAGCAGCAGCAAATTCATCTCTAAATGCTGATTGTCCAACACTGACCTTTTTAGTATGTAAATAGGTTATCTCCCTCCGTGTAGATCAGCCAACAGTATACAGGCCTGCCGGTTTGGAAGCAGAACTTCACATCTTCTCGGAAAAGCCAGCATGTTTACAAATGTGACTGTTCCTTAATGAAGGTGTCAGGTTGGACAAGGAGCATGTACAAAGCCAGCCCTGAAGACCCAGGGGGCAGAAGGGTCCCTAGTGTCTGAGGTCAAGGCCGCAGAGTCAAGACCACCCAGGGCTCTCCTGGGCAATGAGGAGTTAACCCTATCTGCTCAGAGGGATTCAGACCTCAAAGCAGGACTCTCAAAGGACACCGTTAACGAGTCTTATGTTTTGGAAGTACAGAGATGTGAAGGGATGGTGAATAGATTTCTGTGATGTACAAATAAAGGCCAAAGGCATTAAAATTGTCAAAGAATGACTGTGCTCCCCAGCAAGAACATTTTCCACACTGTAATTCTGGAAGCAGAATTATACTTCCTTGAATGCCAAGGGGTACACCTGGAAATCTGTCTAAGGTGTGCTTATACCAGCACCAAACAGCACTGCTTCTCAGGATTCCGGGCCCTGGAAGATGGGGCCCGTGGGTCAGTTCAATGAACAAGGTGGACTTCAGGTTCCAACGACAGGTGGGGGACCTTGCACTGTGTGCTGCATGCTTGAACACACGAGGCTTTATGTTGTCTCTAGTTTTTTAATTCAGTTAACTGTGTTCCTATTTAAATCAAACTATCCGCTCGAAGGGAGGTGAAAGCTAGGTTTCTCGAAGGATGGACAGGACTTAATGGAGAATAGGTTCTATATGACAAAGTTGAGTCCTCCCATGGCAGGCGGGAAAGGTCTGCTGCCAGTGTGCTGGGTGACCAGTCCCCTGCCTGGCTTTGAGTTCTCATGGGTATAAGGGCTCTTGTCTGTTTACCTACAACCTCATGTTTTGGGGAATGACTGCCAGAACTAGTTACATCCCATGCACAAATAGTATTTACACTATTATTAACTCTATAAAATGAGACGGGAAGCCTGAAAGGTGAGTATTTGGGCTCAAAAAGACGTGAAGTTAGGTTAGGGAGGGAGTCTGAGAGCAGGAATTTGGAATAACCAGTCTGCCAACTCGAAGGCGGGACTGGAGTCCAGAACATGTACCATCTAGAGCTGGTGGGAGGGGGAAGGAGAATGCGAATGAGGGCATAGTGTGGTCCCCAGCATATCCGAACCATCCATTAAAGGGTAAGGGCTCCTCTAAATGTGACTGTAAGTTCCTTGAGGTCAGGATTGATGCCCTGTGGAGGGATGATCCATTTTTCAAAGTTAACACCATGGAAGACTAATTTTCTAGCAGTAACAGGAAAGAGGGAATGGATTTTGGAGAGCATTTTGTGGTGGTTTGTCTTGCCTTTTTTGTATCATTTACCAGGTCCAACTACTTCCAAAGCTGATGATTTTGGGGTGAGATCCTCATGTCTGGCTGAGAGAATGCTAGGATAGGTCTTGTGTCAGAGGACTGTGGCAATGGGGGAAGGGTAGGGTCCACACCAGCTCGCCTACTCATGAGTCCCGGCACCCACACAGTTGCTGAGTGACTTAGCCTCCATATATCAAGGTGTTTGAAGGGGGGTAATAATAATACTTACATCCCACTGAGTTGACAGCATTACAACAGCTCCTGGGACATGATAAGTATTCAATACATGTGAGGGATGACATTACTGTTACAAATATTATAAAAGAGACAGGCTCAAAACGGAGTCGTATGTGCTCAGCCCCACATCAGCAAACCCAGACTTAATACCTGGCCTAGCTGCAGTTTCAGCCTCTCCCAGGAGCGCAATCTCCACCAGTCAGTCTGGAATTTCCTGGTGAGCATTTGTGAGGTAATCTGACTGCTGGATCCCTGCCATCCCCCTAACAAAGGTGACCAAAACAACCCATTCTTTGCTTGTCCCTGTCCCCTTCTGCCTGAAAAATCCACTTTGTACAGTTCCTTGGAACTCCTCTCTGATATGGGAAACAAAGGCAGAAGAAAAATTATTAAATTTCCTTACTACCTAGATCCCCCTGACAAGTCCTTAAAATAGGCAGGGTAACATTCCTCTAGGGACTCAACTACTTCAACATTAATACTTTGCTAAGGTCAAAAGGCAATCCTAGCCCAAAACCATGACCCCTACCCCCCCACCCCCCACCCAGGATCCTGTAAGTATAAAAATGTATAAAATTCATGTATAAAAATTTCTTTGGAAACTTCCTTTATCTCTAAACCCCCCCAAGATAAGTTTTGGCAATCATCCCCCAAGCATATGGTCCACCAATATACCTCTGAAGGGTCTCCTAAGGTTTTATTAGACGATAAGAAATGACATTTTCCCTACAATCGCTAGACCCTTTATAGTTCTGGAAAGCTTGCTTCCAAAATTCCTTAGAGGCTTACACTATCTCTAACGCCCTCCTAACCGGAAAGTATATAATGGGCCACTCCTCACAACCCCACTGCAGCTCTTTCTGCCCATGGGTCCTGTCCCCGTGCTTTAATAAAATCACCTTTGCACAAAAGACGTTTCAAGAATTCTTTCTTGGCCATCGACTTCGAACCCTAACATCTTTCCTACATCACTTTCTATCTGCTAGAGAGGATGTTGTTCAATTCATGAATCATTGAAGAAAGCCAATGAGATCTTTAAAATTTAAAGTTGAATTTTGTTTTTTAACATAAGATACAAAGATATTTTAACTTCTAATGGAATGTTTGGACATAGAAGATTTCCAAAGCCAGTGTGGCTGAATATGCCTAAAACCTATGAAAGCTAAAATACAGACTGAAACTCAAGGGCTTCATGCCATGTTCAGCTTGCACACCCAAGTGGTCCCAGAATGACAGTGTCGGGGTCACAAAAGTTGTCTGCCAAATCCTAGTGGGAGGAAAGGAGCGTGGGAGCCACGGCCACTGCCGACGCCGGCTAGGGCATCTTGCCCGGGCACACGGGTGCCAATGTGCAGGAACCGAGTCATTCCGCTAAAATACATTCAGCCTGCCAGCTTTCAAATTATGTGGCTCTTGACAGACTTTTAAAATGTGGGGTGATTTGCATCATTTTAAATTCTGTGCATAAAATTAAGCTTTTGAAAATACCCACTTAAAAATCTGCATACATTTTTATGAAATGCGAACACACTGATTTTAACTTTTTACCGAGCCCAGCACAGCTCACGTCATATTAGATACTCCCTAAATGGTTGCTAATAAATTAAAAAGCAGAAGCCTGTGATGAAGGTATATACTGTCTTCAGAAACTATTGTCAAGTGAAAAGAATCAGATCATTTGTCTTGGGGCTCTTTGAGTAAACAGAGGCTTCTGGATTCAAAAGGATGTCCACCACGAACACAGGACAGAAGGGGGCTTCCTAACTGGGTGACTTATTTACTTCATCTACGAGGCCCAGCATTCAGCCCCAGTATCCCCCTAACACAGCTGAGGGATATGGGATGCTTCCCAGTTACACTGCTTACTGCGGCAAGGGGTTCCTACCCACTCCCCTAAA